GCCTGGAGATCAGAAACGAACTTCCCGGTGGACCCTGGTGGACTACGGGAGGTACAACTGGCAGTTAAAGAGAAGGCTACACTCAAGAAATGGCTTGGAAGGAGATTTCAATCGCAGCCGATCAAGAAACACGTCCAGCGCAACAACCAAAACAGTGGCGAAGACGAAAGCCGATTCCTGAGAGAAGTACGATGAAGTGTTTGTCTACAGTTTGCAGAGGAAAACTAGAAATTGTGAGACTGCGAGGTGAATAGAAAGACAGTCTCAGTGTCCTGAAGGACAAGTAGAGACGCCCTCTTATCAAGTACGATAACATTCTTTGGCGATGGAGACAGTACTATGAGGAACTCCTTACCCCAAAGCAACGGCAGAATGATTCGCTTGTAGAGCATCAGGTAACGGATATTACTATTTCTGTAGGTGGAATTACACAACGTGTGAAAAGCTTAAAAAGCGGAAAGGCTGCTGAAATTGAGGAGATCCGCCCTGAAATGCTCAAAGGTATCTGCTGGCTTTGCGAACAATGCGAACAAGGTATGTGCTGGCTTACAGTGTCTTTCAGACTGCAATGACTACGGGCAAGACACCAGCGGAACGGAGACCAGTGGTTGTACTGTCACTGTTCAAGAAGGGAGATCACAGCGAGTGTTCTAGTTATCGGGACATCAGCCTACTGAGCCTCTCGGGTAAAGTCTACTCCAAGGTGCCGCGGAATAACAGACTCACAGATACAAGAGCAATGTGGCCCGGTAGAAGAACCTGACAATATATTTGCCCTACGCCAAATTGTTGAGAAATCGTTGGAGCTCGCCCGTCCGGTGTACATGTGTTTTCTTGACCTATAAAAAGCCTATGACCGGATTCCACGCAACAGTCTGTGATCATGGCTGCGAGCAAACGGGATAGACGGCCAGCTGCTAAGGGATATCCAATCAACGTATTCTGATAGCAGGTGCTGCGTCAGAGTAAATAGCGCTAAGTAAAAGCCTTTCAACGTTTGCACTGGTTTCTGCCAAGGCTGCGTCCTGTTACCTGTCCTGTTTGTGTTGCACATGGACAGAAAACAGCCAGGAGCAGTCAAGGCGATAGGTGTATAAGTGTAGGAGATGTGAAGACGAGAAGGCTGCTGTTTACAGACGACCTTGTTTTGTTGGTATCTTCTGAAACTGATTTACAGTGCTCCTTAGAAAGGTTCGCAGTCGAGTACAACGTGACCGGCATGCGGGTGAACGCTGAGAAAAGCCTTTCTCGTTCTCCTGCCTGTTGCTCTCTTCAGATTAACGGAGAGGCAGTGGAGCAGGTGGAGAAGTTCAAGTACCTCGGAACTGTATTCACTAGTGATGGAAAATTGGAGGAAGAGATCGACCGGCGAACTGGAGTAGCCAGTGGCGTTCTGTGTGAATTAGCCCGACCCGCTGTGACTAAAGTAGATCTGAGTCTGAAGACTAAGCTCGCGGTACACTAAGCTCTAAGTCGATCTTTATCCTTATCTACGGTGAAGAGTTGTGGACCACAACTTAAGAACTTCGATCCCGGGTACAAGCGGCCGAAGTGGGCTTTCTTAGACGAGTCGCTGGCCGACATGATCTGGAGATATGTGCGACAGTGAGAGGTACAACCGCTGTCTCTTAACATTAAGTTGTGACGGTTTTGGCATGTTTTGCGAATGCCTCCAGAAAGAAAGACGAAGCCACTTCTACTAGTCCAGCTGACCGACCTAAGACCCCGGGGTCGGCAAAAATAACCTGTGGCAATTGTTCTTTACAGAATGTGTTCGTTTCGCATAATCTTCTGTTGAACTTGGAACGTTGGAGAAACTGTCTGAGCCGTCCCTTTCGGCGGCCC